CCCGAGGCCCGACCTGAGTTCGGGCCGGGCTCGGGCCTCATTTGGCGCTCAGCTGTCGGGTTCGTTCCGGGCTCGGGCTTCTTTTTTTAAATATATGTTTCTTTTTTATTATTATTATAATTATTTTTAAATGATTTTTATACATAATGATATACATATATATATATATATATTAATAACTAGAAACTTGCAATGGCTGAAGCCATTGCGATTGACTGCGGAACAGATCTAATGTGGAAATCTGCTAAAAAAAATCCTTGAAATCCTTTAAAAGGCCTTGAAACTGTTAAAATACTTGATAGATATTTGAAACTCCTGAAGTCCTTGAAATTGTTGAAACCTTTAAACTCCTGAAATCCTTGAAACTTTTTTAAACCTGGAAACTGTTGAAAGTGTGGAAACTCCTGAAATCCTTGAACCTCCTGATATCCTTGAAACTGGTTAAATTCTTAAACAGTTGAAATCCTTGAAACTACTGAATGTATTGAAAGTGTCCTTGAAACTGAAAAATCCCCTCACCGCTGAAACAATTTGGTTCCTGTAACTAAGGAAACCTGGTCTGTGGTCATTATCTGGTGGTGGTCTGAGTCTTCGTTTGGTCTGGTGGTATAAAGCAACCTATTAGGTTGCATTATACTGGTTTACATGGAAAAATCCCTATTAGGTTGCATTATACTGGTTTACATGGAAAAATCCCTATTAAGTTGCATTAGTACTGGTTTACATGGAAAAATCTCTACATCTAAGGGAGTATGTAAGTGATTCACGGATGAATCAGAGCAGTGTTATCTTAAGATGTTTTATTATGAATAGAGCTCTGTGTAGATCAGTGCTTGATTACACCATGTTATTTTTGTTTATTCTAAGGTGGTACAAGCAGTGATAGCCAATCCCTGCAATGTTTAATGGGAGGGTTGTACTAACAGCGAATCATGATGAATGGGGTGGGAGGTTGGAGCCTACTTTCGTCAATAAGGTGGTTACATCAGTGGTTAAGCCAATCATGATGATGTTCAAGGGAGGGTGTTAAACAACAATCAAGAGAGGGTGATGGAGGACTGTCTACAACCATCCAATCAGAATGTTGTTTGTTTTGATAGGTTGATCTTATTTAAGGTGGGTGTCTTTATATTAAGCCTATGGATTACAGAGTATATATTATTTTTTTTTTCCTTCGAAAAACATCATCACTCAAACAACAATGGCTACTATTAGTCCTCAAAGATCTCAGGACGGCCCACCCTGAAGTCACCGGAAACGGCGCCCCCCTCCATCCGCTCACATGGAAAGCTTCAAGGTAACCCGGTACACGTGACGAACGCGTGGTGAGAAGTGATTCAACGTATACAATTAACGTATACGGTGGGGTATGTTGATTTTTGGGGAGGAGCGTTGGGTTTCTATAGCGAGTTGGTTTCATTTTAGGGACCCTCTGCACGTGTTAATTTAGCAATGGTTTAAAAAATGTAGAGTATTAGAATTTTTGTGAGAGAGGCTAATAAGGGGGATACGAGCTGTATGGTACGATTCGACCAAAAGATTGTAGAAAAACAGGGGCTTGTGCAAATTAAATTAATAACCACGCTGATTGTGTTAGATTGGGAACCTTACCGCCCAAAATGGTGAATATTGTTTCTATACAGTAAAGTGACTGGCGCGAGAGTATCTAGAATTATTTAGCAAAATTGAATAAGGCTATTCAAAAGATTATTTTCTACATGGAGTGGGAAACGGTCTCTAAAGCGATACGATGCCTTGAAACGGAAGACTGAGTAGTGCTAATCTGTTTGGTTCTTTTCTGAATACAACAAGAGATTATGTAAGTAGTATAATGTATTTATTTATTTTTCTATACAGAGTCAATAATGTAATATTCCACAGTGAGGGCTTTCCAATGGAGGAGGAATTCAAGTGACGACGTGCGCCCCCTGAGGGTGGTGAATCAACGATGAAAACCACACACCAGAACAGGTTCGGTTATTAATGCAAGGCAAGGCAAGTAACATTGGGCCTCATTCACGAATAACTTCGTAAGAAACTACTCAACTTTCTTCTCAAGTTGTCCTTAAGTAGATTTCTAAGAAGTCCCCACGTGGGATTCATCAACGCACTCGTAATGCGCTGAATTGTTCGCAGCTGTTCTCTCAGATTGATGAATCCCATTTCCTCGTAAGTACAGCGCGCGTGCCAGGTGCTTCATTAGCATAGGTACTTAGCATAAGTAACCGCCCACTAATGCCCATATAAGGGACTGCAGGGCCGTGTGCAGACGGCAGAGGAAACAGCAACAGGCCTTTACACGGAGCAAAAGAGTCACCCAGACTGAGAATAAAGTTATAAAATGTTGACTTAAAAGTCGAAATATTATGATAATAAAGTCGAACTAGCAAAATTATGAGATTAATCTAAGAATATGATGAGATTAATCTCAAAATGTTATGAGCTTAATTTAAAAATATGTCAATGGAGTATGTTATTGTGTTATTATCATATTAATAAATGTAACGTTTAGTCTAGTGTGGATCTAAAAACTAGTAGTATTGATCCAGGATCTAGTAGTAAGGAGACAAGAATGTGTGGAACCAACCCACCCCCAGCTATTATACACAGGAAGTTAAATTAAGAGGACCAGAAAACATCTGTTATAGCCTCAGGCTTACTTATACAGGGGCTATTTGTGTGTCCTGAACAGAGGACTATTGTGTTCACCTAAGGATGGTGAGACATGTGTTTTCAATTATCAGGTCATGTGACTGTGTGCTTTTCATCGATAGCCTGTCTTGAAACAGGGTCTTTTTGCTTTGGGTGTGCGAGGGAGAGCAGGGCCCAGATTGGAGAAGCAGTCTGCCACTTGTCTGTATCTTATATTCTGTCTTTTATATATTAAACCTTTTTTATATATCTAAGCAGAATTTGTGGTCCATTTTTCATTGAAGGAGAAACCGTGGCTGAACCAGCGTTAACAAAATATATTATGTATTATTTTAAAGATGAATCTCAAAATGTTTTGAGATTAATCTCAAAATATTTTGGACCCTGGGAGGAGATCCAGCGCGGACCAGCGCTGAGACCAATGCAGACCCGAGGAGAGACTGGAGTGACCAGCACACAGAAACCAGCGCGGACAGGAGAGACCGCATAGACTGGAGTGACCTGACTGGAGAGACCGGTGCGCAGAGACCAGCGCGGACCGAAGAGAGACCGCATAGACCAGACTTGAGAGACCAGCGCGGACCCGTATGGATCCAGGAGCATGCAGCACGGACCCGTATGGAGAGACCAGTGCAGACCAGTATAGATCCATGGGAGAGACCAGTGCAGACCCGTATAGATCCATGGGAGACACCAGCACAGACCCGTATAGATCCATGGGAGAGACCAGTGCAGACCCATATAGATCCATAGGAGAGACCAGTGCAGACCCGTATAGATCCGGGGGAGAGACCAGTGCAGACCCGTATAGATCCATAGGAGAGACCAGCGCAGAGACTCAGCGCGGACACAGTAACCTCCTGCAGCAGCAGTATATATGCCGTTGTTCTGTGGCCCGTGGATAAAGAAATGCCCCCTATAAATAGGAAGGGGTCACTAATACACGGCAAGATTTCCAATGTATTTGATAAAGCGTTGGCACATTTCATTTCAAAATGAATTAAAAAGTAGGCCAGATCTGCAGTGAAAAAGGCGGTATATAAATAAAGATTACTAATAAAGATTACTACAAATAAATAAATACATACATCGATATGACGGAAATATCACTGGAATGTTGTATTTTTATTCAACTTCACCAAAGAGGACAACCCCGGCGTGTGAACATGTCGGCACTGAATGCGTACGAGTGCTCCTGAGGACTCGTAGGATTTGTACTTGCCCAAGAGAAATTCTGGTTACGAGAAATATTCGTGAATGCCACTTTCTTCGTAAAAACCGCGTAAGTAGGATTTACGTACAAATCTGTTCCTAAGAACCGTTCATGAATGAGGCCCATTGAATCTTACTTGAGCTGGAGCATTCCCATCATTTAATATTACCAATTTCTGTGTTTTTCTTTGTCCAATCAAAGAATTTCTAAACTGCATCAGTGGATCACCAGAACTGTTTTTAAGGGTAGGATGAATCACTTGTACATTTGGCAGCACCCCTTCCCCAATTATATCAAACTCCAGCATCTTGATTTTAGGTGTGGGTGTCCCTCTAAAATAGGAAAAGATACAGTATGTATTTGTAAAATAAATCAATGATGAAAAAATAATAATAATACCATAATACCTGCTCCCTCCATCCATTGTGGCCTCAAATACCCCATGAAAAATTGTCATTGCAAGCGGAGTGAAGGTTACCTCAGCAAAACATTGTGACTGACTAGGTATCAACAAAGTCATAGGATATACATTCAAGATTTCCTCATGAATTTGTATCTGATGAAAGCTAAATGTGGTAAATAATTGCATATTAAAAAAAAAAGAAAACACCTACGCTATAGAGCAATCACCTTATCAATTTTTGGACCAATTGATCTAATAGCAACATTTAGATTGCAAGGTACTTTAGAGTTATTTGTAAGCTTGAAGCGTCTGTCCCACTAGAACCTTGTTAAAATAGAACTTTTTTTCTTCTGTGACGTAAATACTGTTAGCATTTGCAAACAGCTCTGAGGATAATTGATGGCCGCTATGACATATAACATGCTCTTCAAAGATGGAGGTTGGGTCCAGAAGAATGCCTGAAAAGGTAATGCAGCAGAAAGTCACATATGCAGAAAAATGAAAAACAAAAAAAACATTATTGTAACAATGTAATACAATTTCTTTCACAACAAGAAGTGCCTATACTTAAAACTGTGGTATGGCTTACAGCTAGCTTGAATTGTACTGGGATAATCCAATTTGTCTCATATATATATATATATATATATATATATAATATAATTGTATTCTTGAATAGAAAGCCACATGTTTCTTAAATACCTAGGTTTGAGAATCACTAAAACCTGATACCTGTCTTGTATACTTCAGCCAGTAGTTTGTATGGTATTCCATCAGGATGGTCTGAGGGGTCACGGTCACATATGTCTATGATCAATCCCTGGTCAAAGCTTCCCAACTCATCCCCGCTACATTCAACAGTGACCACCTGCTGGGAGCCAGGCAGCACCACTGCAGTGCAGGGGTACACAGAGAACACCCCCACCGTCAGCCGTGTCTAAAAACACCAAATATTTTGTTCTATGTGAGCACCATGACAACATAAACAGTAGACTTACACGTGAAGGCCTACCTGTGCTATGCACATATCTTTTTGCATATACTCAGGTTTCACTTTGCCACCAACAGCATTGTGTCTGTTTGTTAAATCCAAGGGCGGCTTTTTACCCCTTAAGTTAAAATGTAGTCACACATTTAATAACACTTTTGATGAATATATACTGTATGTTACTGTATATATATCATATATATATAGTCATTCTAACTGTGCAAGAATGTGTGTCTGTGAACTCAACCTGACCTCTCAGGGGACTGTGCAATCATGCAGGAGATTGAAAAGCGAGTCTCAAACACTCCAGTGTTCTCAATAATGAACGGCTTAGTTTTCCTGCCTCCAAAAATGAGGGGACCAAAGTTAATGTCACAGGTTGGAGTGATTCTGTACCTGGAGGCACAAATTAAAAGGGTTAGGTCAAACTCAGATGTACATTCAAATTTAAACACTTTATAAATAACATTAATGGTGACCTTGAGAAGACTGCTTGAATTGAAACCTTGGTTACGAAAGTGACAATAGTTTCACCTCTTTCTCCAATATTAGGTTCAATAACCTGTAAAAAAAAACATATTTAGTTTTCAACAGTAGTAAAACTACTGAAAATAATGTACACTTGATACAGTATATAGTGTAAAAGCTGACCTGACAGTGAAGTATCGGTTTCTCTTTGATGCGGATATCTTGTGATGGCAATCTGCCTAGACTCGGGGACGCCAACTCACTCCCCCTGCTGCTCTATTCAGCTAACCTGCAGGAAGGAGCCGAGGCTCCCCGCACCGCCAGACAATGACGCAAATCACTGTCTCACCCTTGTCCCTTTCGCATCTTGCATCTGTATGCCTGCATCTCTACATCCTGCATGACCATTGTCTGTCTGTTTGCACCTCCATGCCACTGTCTGATTGCCTCACCACGGGCATGGCGCCTCCGTCTCCGGATGCGCCTCCTGTACTGGTGACCCCCTCCCATCTTTTGTGGGCGTGACTGTCTTTCATGTGTCGTCTATGTAAACAGGAACCTGAGCTCTCCGCGCTAGAGCTGATGTATGCTGCCTTTTGTGTATGTGAGCTCTCCGCACGTGTGTTACAATAAACTTACGCTCCTGATTAAGACAAAGACCTTTGAGCTTTCTTCCTTGCTTTGGATAGAAACTTCTATAACAATCTGTATTTGGTTTGCAGATTATCTGGACAGTTACTGATTTGTCATGAGGCATAACTTTTCCACTTCGGGGTGAAATGCAGAAAAGTGAATCTACATTTGGTAGTTTTGGATTCGTCGTATCTAGGGTAAAACTTGAAAAAAACACCACAGACACACATTAGGCTCATTGGGGCCTCATTCACGAACGGTTCTTAGGAACAGATTTGTACGTAAATCCTACTTACGCGGTTTTTACGAAGAAAGTGGCATTCACGAATATTTCTCGTAACCAGAATTTCTCTTGGGCAAGTACAAATCCTACGAGTCCTCAGGAGCACTCGTACGCATTCAGGGCCGACATGTTCACACGCCGGGGTTGTCCTCTTTGGTGAAGTTGAATAAAAATACAACATTCCAGTGATATGTCAGTCATATCGATGTATGTATTTATTTATTTGTAGTAATCTTTATTAGTAATCTTTATTTATATACCGCCTTTTTCACTGCAGATCTGGCCTACTTTTTAATTCATTTTGAAATGAAATGTGCCAACGCTTTATCAAATACATTGGAAATCTTGCCGTGTATTAGTGACCCCTTCCTATTTATAGGGGGCATTTCTTTATCCACGGGCCACAGAACAACGGCATATATACTGCTGCTGCAGGAGGTTACTGGGTCCGCGCTGAGTCTCTGCGCTGGTCTCTCCTATGGATCTATACGGGTCTGCACTGGTCTCTCCCATATACGGGTCTGCACTGGTCTCTCCTATGGATCTATACGGGTCTGCACTGGTCTCTCCCATATACGGGTCTGCACTGGTCTCTCCCATGGATCTATACTGGTCTGCACTGGTCTCTCCTATGGATCTATACGGGTCTGCACTGGTCTCTCCCATGGATCTATACGGGTCTGCACTGGTCTCTCTCCATACGGGTCCGTGCTGCATGCTCCTGGATCCATACGGGTCCGCGCTGGTCTCTCAAGTCTGGTCTATGCGGTCTCTCTTCGGTCCGCGCTGGTCTCTGCGCACCGGTCTCTCCAGTCAGGTCACTACAGTCTATGCGGTCTCTCCTATAGGTCCGTGCTGGTTTCTGTGTGCTGGTCACTCCAGTCTCTCCTCGGGTCTGCATTGGTCTCAGCGCTGGTCCGCGCTGGATCTCCTCCCAGGGTCCAAAATATTTTGAGATTAATCTCCAAACATTTTGAGATTCATCTTTAAAATAATATATTTTTAAATTAAGCTCATAACATTTTGAGATTAATCTCATCATATTCTTAGATTAATCTCATAATTTTGCTAGTTCGACTTTATTATCATAATATTTCGACTTTTAAGTCAACATTTTATAACTTTATTCTCAGTCTGGTGACTCTTTTGCTCCGTGTAAAGGCCTGTTGCTGTTTCCTCTGCCGTCTGCACACGGCCCTGCAGTCCCTTATATGGGCATTAGTGGGCGGTTACTTATGCTAAGTACCTATGCTAATGAAGCACCTGGCACGCGCGCTGTACTTACGAGGAAATGGGATTCATCAATCTGAGAGAACAGCTGCGAACAATTCAGCGGCTTACGAGTGCGTTGATGAATCCCACGTGGGGACTTCTTAGAAATCTACTTAAGGACAACTTGAGAAGAAAGTTGAGTAGTTTCTTATGAAGTTATTCGTGAATGAGGCCCAATGTTCTTTCTAGAGTAAGTGAGAACATAAAGCAGGCCTTACCGGTATGCTATTTCATATTTTCCATGGTTTTGTATCTTGAGTGTTGTCTTGGCATCACTAAAGACTTTCATGGTTCCAAAATCCAGGGAATCTGTCAAAGATGAAGAGAGAAAAAACACTTGCTTAGGGTCAAATCATGTTGGACATACCATACATTTTCATACCAAGTACGCTCAATTTTAGAAAGATGATAAGCGTTACTACCTGGTTCAATATTGATTGATACATCATAGGCCTCAGCTGACACGGTAATATTCTCAGTATGAACGATGCCCAAAATTTTCTCCACATCTGACACCTATATTCACCACCTGCAGAGGGTCAGTGAGGGGCTGGTGCTATGAGACTTGGGTGGCATCTCTGACTGCCACCCCCCTGACCCAGAAATGGATTAAAGGGAAGAAGATGGATGGATGGATGGATGGATGGATCAACAATCCCTCAGATAATTTTTCCAATGAGTTCTTAAATGTCCTTAATTACATGGATTTTACCCAACACGTCACACAGCCAACGCACGACAGAGGACGCACCCTCGACCTGGTCATTACTCATGGCCTGACTGCGGATGTGTCCTCTGTTGTCAACCTGGCTGTCTCTGACCACTACTGCGTGTTTTTTAACATCACTGGTTTTATCCAGCGTGAGACCTCTGTGAGAACCGTGAGGAAGCGACATCTAACCCCTGAAGTGGCTGCAAATTTTATAGACATTCTTAATAACACTCCTCACTTGGTTTTACCCGCCCCCTGTGATCTGTTAGCAAATGATTTTAACAGTAGACTCAAAACTACGTTAGATCAGGTTGCTCCTTTGAAAACAAAAACTACTGGAACAAAATCTGTACCCCCATGGAGGAACGAAGAAGTAAGGAGAATGAAAAGAGAGTGCAGGGTGGCGGAACGTAGGTGGAGGAAAAACAAAACAATCAATTACGAAATGTACAGTAACCAACAAAAAACATACAACAAAACAATTAGGAAAAACCGAAACAATTATTTCTCAAAACTAATCACCCAAAACAAAAACAATACGAAAGTCCTATTTTCAACAATTGACACCATTTTAAACCCTGATTTTAGCATGTCTCGTTTAACCCCCACAGACTCCCTCTGTGAGGATTTTGCAGTCCACTTCATGGGGAAGATAAATACAATCAGATGTAACATTTTATCCAACCACACTACTGTTTTTAACACATCTGATTGTTTGTCTTCGCCAGATGAAACACTGGACAGTTTTGTCCTGGTTGATGCTGAAATGCTTTATAAAGTTTTCTCCTCAGTGAGGCCCACCACATGTCTTTTAGATCCAGTCCCCACTCCATTTTTTAAGTCATTTTATGAATCTTTTAGAGAGGAGCTTTTAAACCTGATGAACTGCTCTCTTCAGACTGGGGTCTTTCCTGCAGCCTTCAAAGCGGCTGTGGTGAGACCCCTTCTGAAGAAGAGCAATTTAGATTTTAATGATCTTAACAACTACAGACCGGTATCCAACTTACAATTTTTAAGCAAAATTTTAGAAAAACTTGTTTTTACCCAGCTCAATGCCTTTTTAGATCAACAGCAAATTTTAGAGACATTTCAATCAGGTTTTAGGGTGAACCACAGCACAGAGACGGCTCTTTTAAAGATTTTAAATGATTTTAGATTAAATTATGATTCTAAAAAGGTGACTGTGTTGGTTCTACTGGATCTTAGCGCTGCCTTCGACACAGTAGACCACACCATTCTTTTATCACGCCTGAACCACCTTGGCCTCTCTGGTGCTGTCCACAAATGGTTCACTTCTTATTTAACAGACAGATCCTTCATGGTAAGTTTGGATACCTGCTCCTCTCAGGTCCATAAAATCACATGTGGTGTGCCCCAGGGTTCCATTTTAGGTCCAGTTCTTTTTAACCTGTACATGCTCCCTCTTGGCGGTGTCATCAGGAGACATGGAACAAGGAGACATCATCTCCTGATGATACACAGCTGTACATCTCCTGATGATACACAGCTGTACATCTCCTGATGATACACAGCTGTACATCTCCATGTCTCTGATTACACCAGGCCAATGGATGCTCTTTTTAACTGCATTTTAGACCTGAAATCCTGGATGGCAGAAAACTTTCTCCAGCTTAACCAGGACAAAACTGAGGTTTTAGTCATCGGTCCTGAGGCCCAGAGAGAGAAACTTTTACCAAAACTCCAATCACACTCTTTTAATCCATCACCACATGTGAAAAACCTGGGTGTAATTTTTGACTCTGAGTTGACTTTTATTCCTCACATTAAGAATATAACAAAAATAGGTTTTTATCATTTGAAGAACATCGCCAGAGTCCGCCCCATTCTCTCTCGGGGCAACACGGAGACGCTGATGCTTTTATCACCAGTCGCATTGACTACTGTAATGCCCTGCTCTCTGGTCTTCCCAAAAAGAACATTTCAGGCTTACAATTACTCCAAAACTCGGCCGCACGTGTCCTGACTAAGACCAGGGGGCGGGACCACATTACACCGGTTTTAAAATCGCTGCATTGGCTCCCCGTGTGTTTCAGGATTGATTTTAAGGTTCTCCTAATGGTTTTCAAATGTCTTAATGGTCTTGGGCCTTCTTATCTTTCAGTAGGGCTGGGCGATATGGCAAAAAAAAAAAATCTCCGATTTTTTCACACCAAATCCGATTTTCGATTTTAATCGATTTATTTTTTTCTATTTAAAAACAAACTACAACTGACAAAGAAATAGATTTTCCTTTATGCAGTTTAATCTAAATCCCCATGGAGCATAAGTGTAACAGGAATTAAGCCTTAAAACATGCTTGTAAACGAGATGGCTCTGCCATTGTAAACAGTGAAAATGTAGCTTAACAGTTTTATAATAACTTCACTTACAATGACACTATGCACCTTCAAAATAACTTAAATCACACAAACAAGGCCCATCGCAAATATATCAATCCTATTAAACACATGCATTATTTACATGAAATATCACATTTTTAAAACTGATTACTCAAAATAGAAATGTTGTAACAGACAGTCTTTTCCAAAAGCCTCCTCGGGTTTTCATGCTTGTTCTTTCAACTGTGCCTGAGTAACTGTGCTGTAGTACAACGCTCGGTCCAGCTGGTGGCGCTAATACTAACTTCAGTGACTCCCGCATTGTGCGAGCTTCCTGTTTACATTCGGATGCTGTAGCTAACAGCTACTGTAGCAGCTACTGTAGCTAACAGCTACAGTAGCAGCTACTGTAGCTAACAGCTACTGTAGCTAACAGCTACTGTAGCAGCAGCTACTGTAGCAGCTACTGTAGCTAACAGCTACTGTAGCTAACAGCTACTGTAGCAGCTACTGTAGCTAACAGCTACTGTAGCAGCTACTGTAGCTAACAGCTACTGTAGCATCTACTGTAGCTAACAGCTACTGTAGCATCTACTGTAGCTAACAGCTACTGTAGCAGCTACTGTAGCTAACAGCTACTGTAGCAGCTACTGTAGCTAACAGACAGCGGGGAACACGTTGTTTGTATCAGAGCAATGAGAGCAATGTGTGAGACGTGTCTTTCCCCAAAGTGCAGCGGCTCAGTGGGACACGAGTGTGTGCGCGCCACGGACACGGGAGTGCGCTTTGGAATAACGAGCGTGAGAGAGCGTGAAAGATGTGGCGTACGAACATGGCGTACGAACATAACGACCGGAGCCTGCGTGCGTGTGCGTGTGTGTTTTGGCGATTTAAATAAAGTCTGATTCTTGAACGTTTGAAGTGTTATTGCAACAGCACCAACTGTGAGAGCGAGCATCAGGCCAGAGGGAGACTGTTAGCATTAGGTTAGCTTCAAAATGACTGTTCAACACCATAGACCCGCGGTTAGCGCGTTAGCGCTGTAGTTCTGCGATGGAGAAAATAAAAATCGAATTTTTAAAAAAAGAAATCGCCCTAAACGTAAAACTCGAATTAATGATTAAAATCGATTAATCGCCCAGCCCTATCTTTCAGATTGCTTTTATCCTATGAACCTTCCCGGCCCCTGCGCTCCTCCGGCAGCAGACTCCTAACCATTCCAAAAGTCAGGACACACACTCACGGCGAGGCATCTTTCCAGCACTACGGCCCCCGTCTCTGGAACAGTCTGAGGAGGAGCTCAGGGCCGCAGAGAACGTTCATATTTTTAAGAGTAGGCTCAAGACGCACCTTTTTAGAGTAGCTTTTGATTAGTATTTATTAGTCCATTTTTATATATTCTATTTATCTTTTATTATTTATTATATTGCTATTGCTTTTATTCATGTTTTGTGTGATAGTTCCTTTCAGGCTCACATTTTAGTGTTTTACTTATTGTATTGTTTTTAGTATCCCCAGTGTTTCCTCTGGAGGAGCCCTCTGCGCTGGGAGCGGTGGTTGGCTGTGGCTGTGGGGGTCGGACTCTTGGACCTGGTGGGGGCCGGGGCCTCGGTTTTGGGTCTCCTCTGGGTCCTGTGTCGTCCCCTTTGGCTATGGGCGGCTCTCTGCTCCTGGCGTTGACGGCTCCTTGGATGGCGTTTCTTCAGCCGGTTGCATCTGAACCCTGCCAAGCCTCTTATCATCGTTTTATTGTTTTATCGGTGCGTGTGTGTGTGCGCGTGTGTGTGTGGGTGGGGGGGGGGGGGGGGGGGGGGTCTTTGCTTGTGGTCTGGGGAGGGTCTGTTGGGCGGTCGGGGGGAGGGCATGGGCAGGATTGTTTTTTAGCCAAACTGTAAAGCACTTTGTGTTGCATCTGTTGTATGAAAAGCGCTTTATAAATAAACTTTGATTGATTGATTGGCCCAGAGACTACAGAAAACATAGCTCAAAACTAAGACTAATCTGACTTTTTTATTTGTATTTTATTTGGAAATAACAACAAAGTGTAACAGATACAGTTCTCTTCATCAAACACAAGGTATTTAAATTTTTCCCATTGATTGGCTTATTATAGTATCTGGCTTAAGTCAACCCAACATTTGTAAATAAATTATGTCCATATACATGTTAACCAAGATACTAAAAAATTAAACATAAAGGAAATTAAAATGAAAGATTGAGAAGTGTACATAAGGTAAAGGGATACTATAAATGTTGTTGTCACAAGCAGGGAAGAAGTCACAAAGTCTGCTCTACTTGGGGTAATGTAATTTATCAATTTGTTCCAAATGCAAACACTTGCTCAATGTTTTTGCAGATACGTCCTTAGCAGCAGAGTTGGACGTTTTTGGGATAAATGGACAGATCCAACACAAACTCACTTTCCTCAGAAAACAAGTACCCAGAGACACACGGCTCGTCCTGATCGGTCACTCCATTGGCTGCTACATCATCCTGGAAATGATCAGGAGGAACCCAGAGCTAAAAGTGTGTTTTGCATCTTTAATGCTTGTCCCCTGCATAAGTTTTGTTGAAACTTGTAGACGTAGTAGTTGGACTAATGCTCAGAAGCGGGTCAGAACATCATGAGGCCTGTGTTGCAGATTCTGCCTAGTTTGTCGGTGTGAAGATAATATACTCACTACTCACAATACCCCGAGGGATCTGGCTCTTTATGAAGTCAAGCAGTCCAGCTCAAGAGTAGTAGCTACTAAGTTCATTAAGACAGTCTGACAGCAGCAGGAAGGAAAGATCAGTGGAATAGATTTAGTCAGCTGCTCCAAGATAAAAAGTTTTTTTTAAATACAGGTCTAAAAAATGTTGGTACTACTTCAGGCTTGCTTAGAATCAGTCCTGATTCTAATATATAATCTTTTTATTTCCTTTGGTGACCTTACATTTCCTATACAGAGTTTGTTGTGTTTCCTCAGGTGTTGAAAGCCGTCATGTTGTTCCCCACAATCGAGCGCATGGCTGTGACTCCTCAGGGCAGAGCAGTGACTCCTCTGATCTGTCACCTCCGCTATTTGGCCTATGTCCCGGTTTTCCTTCTCTCTCTGCTACCAGAGCCTCTCAAACAAGGCCTAGTCAGACTGGCGCTGGGGGGGATCCGTGGTCTGGACCCCACCATCCTCCAACCCACTGTGGGGCTGCTGAGCGGAGACTGTGCAGGTCAGGATCACACACACTTGGGGTTCAGATGATAAGAAGGATGTGCAACAGGAGATGGTATATATATTTATCTTATATACAGATAATATAGATAATGAGACAAGAAAACGTTTTATTTTATCTTAAATGGGGAAGTGTCAGTGTTGCAACCATAGACTTTAAATGGATGGACGATGCTAACCCCATGGAACCCCAATAGGGAAGTGCTCATGGACAAAGCTTTGCTTCAACTCGCTCTGGCTTCTATTGAAAAGTAAACCCCTCCCACTCACCATTTTGGGATTTACAAATCTGTGGGTAAACTGGGGTTTTTGTTGTGATATTGTCTTCGGAAATCCATGAGCCATATAAGGATTGACCAATCAGAAGCCTTCATTAGTGGGGAAACTCCAGCTTTCCTTAGTAAACATTGTGGCAACATATGTCCCTGTTATGGCGCAAAGCTCTTGCCCAGCTAAGAGATACACATGTAAGGAAATTGGCTCCAGCTCGCTTATATTCAAATTGGCTTCTTCTGCATTAATGGCTGACACTATGGTGATGTCACGCTCGGTCAGTCCACTCCTAATACATATTATGGTTGAAAAAAGTAGGACTAGTAATCCTTCTCAAAACTCAAGACAAGTACTATGCAGACTACCATAGTAATATTATTACCACTTGCAGACACCTTCATGAGGAAATAATGAGACCATTGTCGAGAAAAGACAAGGCAGCGGCGATTGCACCTGTACATAGTTTATTCTCGAGTCCCTCCAGATCAAACAAAAGGAGGATTTTTATATGATTTGTAGTGATTGGTCGTGCTGCGTCGGCGCTTCGAGGCGTGAGCCGAGAAATCCCAGTAGTTTTTGGTGGAGCGCGGCCCGAAGCCTGATTTATTTTAGGTGAGTGACGTCACTAATGACGTTTGAAGCCTCGGGAGTACAGGAAATGGAGCGATTCATGAAGTATTGCAGAGGATAGCGAACTATCTAAATGACGTCACTAAGACACGCCCCCGCCGCCTGTCAACTCCCGCCCACATGTTTCGGACAAACACTGCCGAAATGAATCAAATACCACTTGTCACTTTAGACGAAAATGATAAACCAGGGGCAAAATTCCACCATCAAACCATCAGGGATCATAGTGTAGACCAATTATAACGTTGGCTTGAATGTCGTGGTCTTCCAGTAACTGGTAGACGGTTTGAATTGATAAAAAGATAATGGTGAGGATTATGCTAACATTATCTAGTCATTTAAATTGCAATGCTAGCGCCTTCTTTGTTTGTTTTGCTGTGATTAACTTCCATTTATCAAGTTGTTTTTGCACTATCCACTTTGTAATTAGTTTGATCATTAGTTAGCTACAGTCAGCTGATATTATAATAAATCCATGATCACAACGGGTTACGCCACTGTCTCTGAGAGAGAAACTATCAGAGCTAGCCACACTCAGTAAACGCAAATGACAATCAATCAACACATTTAAATGTTAATGGGAGAATACATTATACACATTCATAACACAAGTGCACGGAGGTTTTCAGAATTAACTGTTCAGGTTTTCATGACAAAAATACTTTTTTAATGCGACTAAAGCGATCGCTTTTAGGTTAACTATCCTCACTGTTACTCGCCTGCCACGGGAAAACCTTTGGGAACTATTTTCTTTGCACTCATTAAATAAACCTTTCGGCATGAGTAGTGAATGACGTTTATTTTGTGTGTTCAATTGGTACAAAGCCGTATAATAAGCAGACACAAAGTTGAAAAAAATCCCTCTCATCTTTCTTCAGGTGTGAGAATTGTATACTTTCTGGATTAGGACAAACAATACTAATATGGATTGATGGGGCTAACTACATTCAGAAGAGCTCAGACGGACCTGATACAGCGGTCCAGGTCCAGTCCCAGCTAAACGTAGCTAGGACTGGATCTGGAGGCTCCACAGTTGGTCCAGCGAAGTGTTTTGAAAAAACATGTGCCCTTTTTAACCTTTTCATGAGAGAAATTCTGCCGACCACAAGCACCCACCTGGTCTGATCTGGTCCTGGTCTGGTCCTGGTCTGGTCCGATGTTGTGGTTTAACGAACGGGTTGAATGTTACTTTCATATAGTCCTTTTCAGAGTATCTGAAATCGCTCCGACAAGCACCATAACTGCAGTGTTTTGTTGTCACCATGATTCAATGATTTAGCCCAAATAAATACACACGCGTATGAGGAGAACACAGTAGAACTCAACGGAGTCGTACACAAGTTTGTCCGAAACATGCGCGCATGCGCAGTCATCTGAGCTATTTTTAGCACATTTCGGAAACCGGACAGTGCCCTATCCGCTCAGACTTTGTGGGTTTGTCTTAGTGATTAAGTTTTTTACTAATTGAACAGGGATTGTCATACAGCTGGATAGCTCAGTAGGTAGGGATGTAGAGCTGGTGTATGACAGGCAAGGGTTCGAATCTGGCTGGGAGCACATCATTATGTATTTTTAAATACCTGCGAAAGTTATTGGTTTTAAACAACTGATAGGGTAGGGCTGGGTAATAAATCGAATTTAGGCAATTAATCTGCTTTTTAATAGGGTTGCCGAGGTTAACCGGTTTTACGGTAATCGCGATTATAAAAGCCCACGGTAGGTTAACCTTAAGGATTTTAAATGGCACGGTTTACCGCTGGTACGGAAAACTCTCGCGCGAAGTGCAGTACGGGACCGCTGCACACGGAGCAGAGTAGACTCACCGCTGAATTGGAGATGGCAGGACAAGCTCCCACAGAGTTGTATCCACCGAAAAAACGACTGAAGTCAGCAGTGTGGGATCACTTTGGGTATCCAAAAGATGAGCAAGATTCTGTTTTGGCTGATGGTTTTCCAACGTGCAAATCCTGCCGTCGGAAAGTGGCAGCGAAAGGGGCTAATACTTCAAATCTGATTCAACATCTTCGAGATAATCATCCTTTGCTGTATGTCCAAGTCAAGGTAATAAAACTGCATCATTGTCAAATTAAAGTTGTCCAAATGTCTCAGGATGCACATTTATGCAATTCTCTCTCTGCTTCTGCATATCTAAAGTGAAAGTACTAGCGCCGGTGCGCTAGGAGAAGCTCTTAAAGTGACAGTAGCACGTGTCCTTAGTCAACAAAATAAATGCAGAAATAGCACCTAGGTGTAGACTAGCTATGATGATGGCTACTACTACAAAAACAATTAGGTATATAAATTCCTGCATTTATTTTCTTTATTTTCTAAAATTGTTATACTTAGAAAAATAAAATATATATATATAATGTTCAGCTATTTACATATATGTATATTTTAAATGTAATACAAAAAAATATCTAAAATATTATATGATAATCTTTATTTATCCATTTAATTGTTTTCCAGAAAAAAACTCCCAGCCTGAATGGACCACCTGCAGCTACTGTTCAATCTACAGTTGAAAAGTCATTCTCAAAAAGCATTAAATATGCACCTTCATCAAAACAAGCAAAAGATCTCAATCAAGCCGTAGCATATTATATAGCCAAGGACATGTTGCCAATCTACTCTGTAGAAAAACCTGGATTTCTATCTTTGATGAAAAAGGCTGTTCCACAATATAAGGTACCAGGGCGAACCCACTTTACAACAACTGAAATGCCCAAATTATATTTGGAAGTGAAGGAAAGCGTAGAGGAGCAAATGAAAGAAGCTGAATGGTTTGGGGCAACAACTGATGTGTGGACAAGCAGTGGAGGAGGTGGAGAACCCTACATCAGCTTCACCATTCATTATGTGAGTTCTGATTGGAAACTTAAAGCCCACTGTCTAGAGACACTGTACTTCCCTGATGATCACACTGCAGACAACATAACAGAAACAGTGGAAAACATACTTCAAGAGTAGGGCATCTCCCCAGATAATCTATCTGGCATCACCACAGACAACGCCACCAACATGAAAAAGGCTTTCGCAAATTTTGCTTGTGTGTGGTTTTCCTGTTTTGGGCACAATCTAAATCTTGCTATCAGCAAGGTGCTCAAAATCCAAAGAGTTGAAAAAGCCATAAGAGCATGCCGTCACTTAGTGCAAGGTTTCTCGCGTAGCTGAAAAAAAAAGAGAGAACTAAAGAAGAAACAAGAGGAGCTTAACATCCCAGCACATGCCCTGATAAATGATGTGGTTACAAGGTGGGGATCCACATTTGAGATGATCTCCAGATTCTTGGAGCAGCAGCAGGCAGTCTGTGCTGTTTTGGCAGGGGACAGAAGCTTATGGCATTTAATGCCAAAAGATACAGATATCACCGTCATGGAGGAGGCACACCAGTTTCTGAAGCCACTAAACATATTGACAGATGTAATGGCATCAGAGAAGCAAGTTACACTATCTTCTTTAAAGCCTGTGCTCGTACACATAAATGGGCACATTTTAAGTCCAAAGGAAGAAGACAGTGCACTTACTGAAGCGATGAAGAGTGCAGTAAGAAATGACCTGTTACTTCAGATGAGATATACAGAAGAGATGAAAATGGTCCTGGATATTGTATGTTTTCTTGATCCAAGGTTTAAGGGTAACTTCTCTGAAAAACTAGAGGATACAAAGAAGACATGTGCAGAGGAAGCTGTTGCAATCACCCCAAATACAGGTCCGGGAACATCACAAGCACTGCCTCACGCAGAAACCATATCTGAGGATGATGATGACAGTGCACAAGAAGGGACCAGCTCTGGATCGTCTAAGAGGAAAGGCACAACACTGTCAGGACTCCTGCAGCAAATCACAAAAGCACGCACGCCAGCAAGTGCACCCTTAGCATCTCAGGAAAAAGTTGAGGCAGAGTTAAAACTCTACCTATCACTCCCAATAATCAGTGCTGAAGCAGATCCATTGTCTTGGTGGAAGACACATATGGACGAAATGCCTCTTCTCTCCAAAGTAGCAAAAAAGTACATGTGCATTCCTGCCACAAGTGTGCCCTCTGAACGAGTATTCAGCACCAGTGGCCACATCGTTTGCCCTCAGCGGTCCAGGCTCAGCACTGAGAATGTGAACATACTTACATTCTTGCATCAAAACTTGGACTGAAAAGATATATTCTCCAAGTACTTCTGCTAAATATTTCGTTCTTCAATTATAGATTTGAGAAGTTTAGTTAATGGTTATAAAAAATAACACATCTAAATTTGTTCCAATTATGGATGCCTTAATGTCTTCAAATCTAAAAAGTTCCTACAGTTCGTAAAGTACACTTTACGAACTTCATTTATTATTATTTGTTTATATTTTATAAAACATTTACCTCAAGCCTTTTATTTATTTTTAAACAGTGAATGTTAATGTTTACAAGTTCAAGTGTTAATAAAGTATTTCAATTACAAAAAAAACAATCTGAGTTGATTTTCTTTCAAAATGTCGATAATCGTGATTAATCGTGAAACCACAATATTTTATCTCACAATAATCGTGATTCCAAAATTTGAAATCGTGGCAACCCTACTTTTGAATAAATCGAATTTGTGAAAAATGTTAAAATCGTGAAATCGAATGAAGGATATTGTGAGTTCCAGCAGCACATGAATCATATTTGCAATATCAGCACAGTCTGTACAAGACTTTTATAATACGAATTGGGGGAAACAAATTAGACATAGTTTTGAAACTTGAATATTGACTGGAAAGATCAAAAAATCTTTTTAAGGGCTAAGTCTGTCTTTGGTGACTAAAAATCGATAAAAAATCGAAATCGTCCAAAGCAGGAAATAAAATCGAGATTTCTTTTTTGCCATATCGCCCAGGCCTATGATAGGGTCACAATCCCATTTTATATCCCCATCTGTGTCACAGCCATTGAAAAGCACTTACACTTTCAACATATATCTTTTGTCCTATTCGATTTATTACATTGATTTTGACAAGCTATAATCAGTCATTATATATATATATATATATATATATATATATATATATATATATATATATATATACATATGAGTGTGTGTATTAGAGCAGACAACTGTACCAGTTACCAGTACTTGTCTGGTAACTGTCATTCAAAATAAATCATTGTATAAGACTGAAAAAACCTGCACTACTATTGACACTATTTCTGATTGCCACTTTTAAATTGCCACTTTTTTTTTTATTGTACATAATATATCCTGCATTTAACATGTGGGGTCCACAGTGCAAAATATGGGTCAGGAACAAGACCTTAAACCGACATGAATGACAATGACTGAACAGGCAGTGAAGGAACACATGAGGCTAAGTACAAGACTAACGAGACACAGGTGAAACACATGAGGGCAGGGCAGGTAATCAGACAACAGGCAGCACAACCAATGAAGACACAGGTATTTAACAAACTACAAAATAAAACAGGAAATAAACCTAAACCATGACATATTCATCATATTTTGTTTTCTTTGCAGCTAATGCAATGTACATGGGAGGTCAAGAAATGAAGAAAGTTTTAGAACGGGACAATGCAACTATTACGAAACATCTAAATAAGGTTTGTGAATTTGCATTTCATATTTTAGAATGTTACACATTTTGTTTGGTAGAAATATTTGGATGTTTATATTGAAGATCTACTACCAGGGGAAGGTGTTATAAAAAATAATTTACATTAAACATTAGGGATGCACGATAATATTGGTGTCCGATAATTATCGGCAATTATCGGCAATTTTGACGTCCAACCGATAAGTCCGATAGTAAGAAATCAAACGATAAAATGCGCCGATAATAGCAAAGACAAATCATCTCCGTTTTGCCTCTGAGCAGTTTGTCGTGGCTCGCGCTCCATGCTCTCTCCTCAACCCCCTCCACTCCGTAAGGGAATGTTGCATATTTGTTGCGTCACCAAGCCACGCTCTTGTTTACAAAGAAAAAGCATAATGGCGTGGCAGTCACCAGTGTGGGGATTTTTTTCCGTGTCTGAACAAGACAACTCTCTCGCAGTTTGCAAAACGTGCTCTGCAGAAGTTCCACGTGGAGGAAAAAGGTCGACGGGCTTCAACACAACAAATCTGATAAGTCACCTCAAAATCCACCATCGTGAAAATGAGTGGAAGCAATATGAAGCCACTTGTGCTGCGAAGCGCAACAACATTGGCGCACCCGGCAAACGTAAAGCCGTGGGGACGATGACTATTCAGGAATCGTTTAACAAGAAACAAAAGTTTGTCAGAAAAGACCCAAGGGCTAAAGCAATTGACGACTTAATAATTCAGTTTATCGTGACGGGTGACCAGCCGTTCTCTGTGGTACAAGACATTGGATTCCAAATGCTAATGCAGCACCTCGAACCACGTTATGATATTCCAAGCCGCCGCTATTTTTCTGACACATCCCTTCCTGCACTTTACGAAATGCTTGCCACACACGTCCACACGTTGCTCGCAAAAAACGACGCTAATTGGATCAGTTTCACAACGGACATATGGACGTCAGGCGTGAGTCCAGTCAGTATGCTAAGCATGACGGCACAGTGGCTAGATGGAGATTTTAACTTACAAAAAGCTACCCTCCATTCACAAGAGCTGCCAGGGTCACACACATCACAAGCAATCTGTGAGGCTTTTGAGAAGATGTTCCAGAAGTGGAGCATAACAAAAGATAAGGTGCATGTTGTCCTGCGGGATAATGCTCGTAATATGATAAAAGCAATGGAGCTGTGTGGAGTTTGTAGTCTGGGCTGCATGGCACATACACTTCAACTGGCCATACATGAAGCTGTGTTGAGCCAAAAAAGTGTATCTGACTGTATTGCAATTGGACGTAAGATGGTTGGCCACTTTAAACATTCACAAGTAGCTACCACAGCCCTTGCAAACTTACAAACACAATTAGGTTTGTGTCCTGCGAGATTGCAACAAGATGTTCCAACAAGGTGGAACAGCACCTTTTATATGCTCCAGAGTCTGATACAGCAAAAGCGACCCACTTGCTGCATATGGAGTGGACAACAAATTGCCAGCAACATTGAGCCCTCACCAATGGTCACTGATTGAAAATATGGTGACCATTCTTGAGCCATGTGAACAGCTGACAAGAGATATCAGCAAGGCTACAGCTACAGCTGCAGATGTGATACCGGCTATCCAAGCATTAAAGAGACTATTAGAGAAGGCTGTCCCCACTGACCATGGTGTAAAAACCTCAAAGAGCACCCTTTTGGACGCAATCAAGACACGTTTTGATCGAATTGATGCAGAGCACTTGTATCTATTTGCCACAATCTTGGATCCTAGATACAAAGACCGCTACTTCACCGCAGAAACTAAAGAAAAGGTGAAGAAAATGCTGCTGGAGAAATTGAAGAACCAACTCCAGTGTGACTCACCTGGTAAGATATTTTTATTTTCTAACTTGAAATTCCAATTGGGTTTTATATTTATATTGAATTATTGATTATTGCTAAAAAATATTACTTTTTTTGTGACAGATGAGAGCGTGCCTGTGCCTGAAGGGGAAAGGACTGTGGCCAGGGGAAACAATTCACTCCTGGACATGTATGACGAAATAATACAGGAAAACACAGAGGGAGCTGGACGACAAGAAAAAATGCATGTGGAAGTGCAGGTAAATATTATAAGATGAATCTGATTAATTAACGGAATTAATGTATTTTTACATATTTTTTCACTTAGTTCCAGACATACATCTCAGAGGCCACACTCCCCATGAAGACCCAGACTCTGACACCATTGGACTTTTGGGCAAAGAACAAAAGCCGTTTTCCAGACTTGGCCCAGATTGCGCGGAAATACCTGTCTGCCCCTTGCACTAGCGTTGACAGCGAACGCTTATTTTCTGCTGCTGCAAATGTAATGGATGAAAAACGAAACAGGTTAGGATGTGAGAAGGCAGAGATGATACCACTGATCCGACCTGAATTGGCATAAAACTGAGTAGTAGTAGTAGTATTGTAGTAGTTTTTGTTTGACTCAATCATAAATCCACAGGGTTTAGCCTTTTGTTTTATTATTTTGGAAAAATGCACTTTTATTTGAACCCTGATCTCTTTGATTTATCATTGAATGTTGCCTCTTTATTTATTTTTAGATGCAGGCATTTTTTCCACATATTTATTTTCTTTTTTATTTAACTGTCAGGGGACATTTTTTGAAAAGTTATGTTACTTGTTGCTATTTTGCTAATGTTATACATTGAATATTATGGGCCTATTTCTATTGGCCTCATTGTTCTACTTAATATATTGCACTGATAAAGCCTTTGAAGCAAGAATATAAATTAATAAATTCCAACTTTTTGCTCTACAAAGTGATTCATTGTTATATTTATGGGTCAAAAATAAAGCAGGAGATAGGTTTGTATTAAAACTAAAGTCAATTAGGCAAAGAATTATTGGCTGACATTATCAGTTATCGGTAGACATACAATTATCGGTTATCGATATCGGTTCAAATTTGCATTATCGTGCATCCCTATTAAACATTTTGAGGTGATACAAAAAGGCAGCAAAAGGCTCTGAACATGATGTAATAGCGTAACATTTTTTGAGACTTCAGCATTTTGACAGAAGCGTGGATGGAGCAAGGTTGGGGCGACAGCGGCTCAGTTGGTAGAGCATTGGCCTAAGAGCCTGAAGGTCGTGGGTTCGATCCCACCACAAGACCTACTTCACGACTCCCACTGATGACTGCTGTCGTTGTGTCCTTGGGCAAGACACTTAACCCCACTTTGCCATAGGGAGCAAAATGACTATAAATGTCCTTAAATGTCCCGGATTATCACTGTCCTTAGACCCTCCTGCAAGGAACAACTGAAAATAACCTTGGGTAGGCCCACATTGAGTGGGGGGGATTGGTTCCCACGGACAGAAAGCCTATTGATCCAGGACGCAGGCTGTAGATCTAGGACTAAGGCTTTGCGGTGCAGGACTAAAGAGGTTCCCAAATTCCAGATGGGGAGGGGTTTGCAGCCCACAAGTCTGGGCCGGGGACACCAATCCACAGTTGCATAAAAGAGACTGGATTCAGGACTCCCATCATCACACCATGAAACAGACAATGGGACATGTCTGTTAAAGTGATTGTCTGGAGTTTGTCAGAAAAAAGAGAGGTACATGATTAGAAAAAAAACGACCCAAGCTCCCTCCCCCTTCCTTTCTGATTGGTCTACGCCTACGTTTCCGTAACAATCAATCAACACATTTAAATGTTTTCGGAAAACACATTGTAATTATACATTATTAATACACATGCACGTAGGTTTTCAGAATTATTTGTTAACGTTTTCTTGACAAAAATGTTTTAATGCACAAAAAAATCGATCGCGGTAAACCCGGAAGTAGCTATTAACAATGATTGAACGTTATAGGAAACATCTGCAGAGGATCTTATTATGGATATAGGTTCAGTATATACAGTGCCTTGCGAAAGTATTTGGCCCCCTTGAACCTTTCAACATTTCGCCACATTTCGGGCTTCAAACATAAAGATATATAAAAAAAAAAGTTTTTCAAGCATCAACAACAAGTGGGACACAATCGTGAAGTGGAAATTCCAAGAAAATGGGGGTCAAAGTGTGCAAAAATGATCCAAAATGCACTTTTTAACCTGGATTCTTAAAAAAAGTAAAAAACCTTAGAAAAAGCTTTCACTGCACACTTGTTCACTGTGATGCCCTCTATTATTGTGCAAAGTCACATTCACTTTTACTGTAGAAATTCCAAGAAAATGGGGGTCAAAATGTGCAATAATGATCCAAAATGCACTTTTTAACCTGGATTCTTAAAAAAAGTAAAAAACCTTAGAAAAAGCTTTCACTGCACACTTGTTCACTGTGATGCCCTCTATTATTGTGCAAAGTCACATTCACTTTTACTGTAGAAATTCCAAGAAAATGGGGGTCAAAGTGTGCAATAATGATCCAAAATGCACTTTTTAACCTGGATTCTTAAAAGTAAAAAACCTTAGAAAAAGCTTTCACTGCACACTTGTTCACTGTGATGCCCTCTATTATTGTGCAAAGTCACATTCACTTTTACTGTAGAAATTCCAAGAAAATGGGGGTCAAAGTGTGCAAAAATGATCCAAAATGCACTTTTTAACCTGGATTCTTAAAAAAAGTAAAAAACCTTAGAAAAAGCTTTCACTGCACACTTGTTCACTGTGATGCCCTCTATTATTGTGCAAAGTCACATTCACTTTTACTGTAGAAATTCCAAGAAAATGGGGGTCAAAGTGTGCAAAAATGATCCAAAATGCACTTTTTAACCTGGATTTTTAAAAAAAGTAAAAAACCTTAGAAAAAGCTTTCACTGCACACTTGTTCACTGTGATGCCCTCTATTATTGTGCAAAGTCACATTCACTTTTACTGTAGAAAATCCAAGAAAATGGGGGTCAAAGTGTGCAATAATGATCCAAAATGCACTTTTTAACCTGGATTCTTAAAAAAAGTAAAAAACCTTAGAAAAAGCTTTCACTGCACACTTGTTCACTGTGATGCCCTCTATTATTGTGCAAAGTCACATTCACTTTTACTGTATAAATTCCAAGAAAATGGGGGTCAAAGTGTGCAATAATGATCCAAAATGCACTTTTTAACCTGGATTCTTAAAAAAAGTAAAAAACCTTAGAAAAAGCTTTCACTGCACACTTGTTCACTGTGATGCCCTCTATTATTGTGCAAAGTCACATTCACTTTTACTGTAGAAATTCCAAGAAAATGGGGGTCAAAGTGTGCAAAAATGATCCAAAATGCACTTTTTAACCTGGATTCTTAAAAAAAGTAAAAAACCTTAGAAAAAGCTTTCACTGCACACTTGTTCACTGTGATGCCCTCTATTATTGTGCAAAGTCACATTCACTTTTACTGTGGAAATTCCAAGAAAATGGGGGTCAAAGTGTGCAAAAATGATCCAAAATGCACTTTTTAACCTGGATTTAAAAAAAAAAGTAAAAAACCTTAGAAAAAGCTTTCACTGCACACTTGTTCACTGTGATGCCCTCTTTTATTGTGCAAAGTCACATTCACTTTTACTGTGGAAATTCCTAGAAAATAGGGGTCAAAGTGTGCAAAAATGATCCAAAATGCACTTTTTAACCTGGATTTTTAAAAAAAGTAAAAAACCTTAGAAAAAGCTTTCACTGCACACTTGTTCAATATGATGCCCTCTACTGTTTTGCAAAGTTGGCTCCATTTGTTAGTTTGAGTGGATATAATCTATATTTTATTGTTACGGGCCAGGCCCTTTAAGTGTCCATGAGAGGGTTCTGTTTGTTTGTCTGCCGTCTCCTCCTCTGTGCAGGTACACACATGCACCATGCCACACCCTGCCATCAGTGGACCTTTTCAGCTGGGAGCTGAGAGCTGCCCACTCTCTCCTGTCTTGTTGCCTTGTTCGGTCCTGACCTGGTGGGCTCTGCAGATACCCACCATGCTCATTCCTCTTGTGCACATTAGAGTTTGTCTTTTGTTTTATGCATCACATTCACTGCACACCACACACTGGCTTTCATTGCACTCACACACCTACACCACACACTGATTGCTACATGCTCACACCTCATACCTTGTTTTTGTTTATATTATACTGTCTTTGGTTATTAAATATACTTTTTGCACTTTTTATCTCCGCCTCGCCTCCCTATTTGTTATGCCTCTGAGCCGACCGTAACAATATTATTATAATAGTGCCCTGTTTATAGAAAAGCAGGAAAGCTATAGTATAAATGATACGTCAATATTTTTACAATTTTGGCAAGTGAGTAGATAGTATTGGAGTGCTGTGGAATTTGATGACTTTCAGCGACTTCAATGGTAAACGGGGATCCAAGGTTTGGAATCAATCAACCTAATATTGTCTCATTAAATGATTTTGTTTGTTATAATTATCGATTTATTTATCCATCCCAGTCGTTTTTTTTCTATAGCTGGAGGGGTTTTACTGCAATACGGTACCTCCTTCTCCCAAATTGTATGAGAAGATGGTATGAAATGGAACCCACATCACTACTGTTTTCGAGTTTTAATGATCTAATAACGCTTTAGTTGTACTTTTGGTACCTGTAATGAATACATTTAAGTAGATTTTGGTGTTGCATGTGGAAGCCCGTTTCCGCCATCTAAAAAAAAAAAAAAAACTACAGAAAATCATAATTTTGAGTTCTCGAAATTACGACTTTAAAAGTCGAAATTATGACTTTAAAAGTCAAAATTACAAGTTGCTCTCCCTATATATTGTTGTCTGGAACGGTGTCTGGACATTACGGAAGTACAGAAGCTCAGAACTGTCACTGTGGGTAAAAAATATATTCAGGTTTGCTCGTTATAACGAAAATATTTTTACGTTTTAACGTATTCATATTACGTTTTAACGAAAATATATTTACGTTTTAACGATATAAAAATACGTTTTAACGACAATATATTTACGTTATAACGATATAAAAATACGTTTTAATGACAATATATAACGAACTATTATTACGTTATGACGAGGTAATGTTTACTTTTGTTTAGCGCCAACAACATGATAGACATCCTTTACTGCAGGTAAAGGATGTGTGAAGATTTGGCCGACAGTGACCACTGCATTCATGAAGTAGCAGCAGTAATGTTGGGCATTGATTCTGTAAAGGTTTCATGTTTAAGCCCCCTGACCGCGGTCGTAGGACGAAAGGGGCAGCTGTAATTTTATTCATTTTTATTTCAATTTACATAAATACAACATTTACATCAAACGACTTCTTATTTCGTCATAGTGACAAATAATGTGAGCACTATGTTCTTATAATAAATCAAAGGGAAATGAGCCATCGATCCATTCCAATCCAATCTGCTATAGACCACTCTGACCAGACGATGACACTGAGAGGGGTCCACGGCTGAAAGGATGCGCTTTCTACGTGTTGTGTATAGGTTTTATTCATGCA